TGAAGATGTGGAATACCAGCGGCTAGACGGTAAGATCAAGTGCACCTTTACTATAGCTTTGCATTGACAACCTTGTAGTGATTTATTTTTCTCTAGCTAGCGAGCCTACGCCCTTATGCTTTTTTTCCGAGTATATTAGATTGCTTTGGCTTTGAGAGATTGATCATCAAAAGCTCTGTAAAAAGAAACGAGAATTCATAATGGCTTTTAGTCCACTAGAACAATTTGCTATTATTCCATTGATTCCTTTTCATATAGGAAACTTAAACGCACGTGGGATCTCGTTTTCGAATTAATTCCTGGCGCCGCTAACTGCAGAGCTTGGAATCCGACATGAAAGGCTGCAGTCGGGTTGCTCTTTCTTTAAACTCATCCTTGCCACGTGTCCGGTAGTGGAACCCCCTTTCTCGATAACACTCGGTGCGGCGGCAATCGCTGCAGAGAGTATTGGGCTAATGGGGTGCCACTGTCGTCCACGGGATGACAATCAACTCGTCAAAGGACAATAAGAAGGAATAAGGAGGAAAATGAGTATGGACGATAACAAATCCCGTGCCTACAAACCTTGAACACCTTGTTTCAGGAGGGAAATAATAACGCCCTCTGATCTTTGCGACGGCTTCTTGTACGTCCCACTCGCATACATGTGGTCGTTCCTCATTATACGAGAAAGGGTGCTGTAGGAGTACGGGAAGTCAGTGCCCAGTCGGGTCAGCCTAATCAGTCCACATGGTAGAAGCTAACTAGGGACGGGGGTCCATGCAATCCGTCATTTGATCCAATCAAACGAACGACAATTGTCTAGCATTCATTCAGGGGGGCGGAGTGAGAAAACAAGAATAAATCATGCATGAAAATCACAACGCATCAAAGTCTCAATCTGTTCCCGTTATCAAAACAACAGTTCAGCCAATGTATGCAGGGAAGCACTTCTCTCCCAACTTGTCTTTGTGCTCCAACGAGTTTGCCTGGCGAAACCGGATCGTAAAAAGCAAGTGGGGACGAAGATCATGCATACATCAATCGTTGTCAACAACACATTCAACTCGTTGCACTCGAAAGAAGTGGGGGAAGAAGGACAAAGTGGCATGACCTCCTTGGCCTCTCAAGTTCGGCGACGCTCGCTCCTACGAGATCCGATCAAACTAAAAGAGACAAGCGGGGTGCGGATTCGAAAACAAACAGAAGCAAGGGGAGCGCTTCACCATCCAATCATTCATCGAGAGAGAGAGAGTGAGAGAGAGAGAGAGAGAGAGAACAAGAGTGTTGACGAAGCCGCAACTTGACTGAAGAATTGGACTAAGGAGAATGACACAGTGACAAACCCACAAGCGGATCTGAGAAAAACCAGTGTTTTGCCATGAACTTAGCTTCCAAAATGAGAGAAGAACGAAGAACAAGGCGGGCAAGCCTCCTGCTCAGGCACTGACGATCCCAACCGCCACATACCAACCTCCATTCCACAGCAACCATCACCCCGCCAACTTAGTTTCTACACCGACTTCCTCAGATCCCGCAGTCCGTCGTGGCCACCCGGCGCACAGCCTCGCAAAGCGTCAGGACTTTCCGACTCGCCGTTCATCACATCATCTAGCCACTACGTCCCTGAAGTTGGCTGATGGGTTGAGAGAGATTTTCGGACTCGCTTGCGGATTTTATAGTTGCGAAGGGGGAAGTAGAAGACGAGAGAGAGGGAAGATGAAGGGGTCAAAGGCAAGGAGGGGGGGAATAGGATTATTCGCCTAGGGAAGGCCATATCGATCCATGCGAGTTCTTCGCAGCCAATCAGATCACAATGTGAGGGGATTAATCCTCCTTACACGTTGTCGTATGATGACTTGAAGGCTCTGAGAGGGGATCGGTAGGGACTTCCTGTACGGGGATGAAGGCCGGAACGGGGAGGAGGCGAAGGCGAAGAACGGTGCGGAGCGGGACCAACATTCAGATGGAGGGAGGGAGAAAGAAGCGCGAAGGAAAAGGGGATGGAAAACAATTACGGGTCAAGGGAAGAAGGCGTGAAAGTGAAGATGGGTGAAGATGGCTTGGGATATAGCGGGAAGCGGGGGAAGCTTGCATGCATGGTACCGACGCAGAAACAAAAAGGCACCGAAACAGTTACGCTCTGTCCACCCCAACTCTAAAACAAGTTCAAGATTCAAAAATTCAAAAACAATATCTGCGTGACAAGCGGAACTCCTATGCCTATTCAGATTTCATCAGAAAATTCACCGAGCTTTCCGAGTTGGATTTAGGAACACTCATGTACAAGAACGGACACATCATCGGGAAGTGCGGCCACAACTTCCAGAGTTCCCAACTGCCGAACAACATTCCTAGCGTGCGTAATTCCTATGTAAATTTATTTATTTTCAAGAAAAACAAAGAAAAATTCTGAGAAAACAAAAGTACTTTGAAGTAGGAGGGCCTCGGCCGCCATTGATTCCATGCGTTACCCGTCTGCCAAAAAGGAGGTACCCGAAGCCCGTTAGGGACCGAAAAGACGAGTAGCAGAACCTAGGGCTTTGGAAGCTCGTTCAAGCACAGAAGTCGGCACGTCACAGCAGGCTGGGCCCTCAACATTTAAAGTCCCCAGGTCAGCACTTGCAAGCACGCAGTTTGCTCACACGCTAGTCAATATCAGTCCTTGGGCTAGACAGGTTGTTTAACGAGGGCCCATCGCTCAATGCCTGTGCTTGCTGCTTTACACGATTGTCGGGAGCAGGTTGACCTCTCAACACTTAAAAGCTGACCAACCATTGATGACAACAACAAAACGACCACTGCAGGCTGACAAACAAAGAGTCAGAGTCAGACACAGGATATACAAGGCTAGGGGTGTTGAGAAACTTCACTTCGAGCTTGCTGCCATCCGCAGACACCCATGAGGCGCTTGATCGCACTTGATTCCAGCTGAAGGTACATGCTTGCCACCCCCTTTTCACCTTTTCCTTTGTTCCCGGCCAATCCCAATTTTTTTCTTCACTGTGCCTTCGCCTTCTTTCCCAGCCAGCCCTTTTCCAAGCATGCCCAAGCATGCCCAAGCACGCCAGCCCATTTACCTTCACCAGCAACTTCATGCACAGTGCGCCTAAGTTGCCGTCCACTGGCGTGCACCTTGCTTTGACCTGCTTGCACCCGGCTGAATTTGAACTCAGGTCGGCATTTTCATAACCCGGCTAAACTTTCCCCTCGGTGCCCTCATGAGGCACCCTTTTTTTTGTTGAAATCTCATATTTCTTTTTCCCCCCCTTTCCCTGCTGCCCGCTTTCGTTTCACACTGGCGCTTTCTCGTTACACACGTGCACATCTCTCCTCCCCTTCACGTGCTGGGGTGTGTGCGTAGGCTTCCTTCAACCTCACGCTGCATCTCACCTCACCTGTGCGTGCTGCCTCTACTTCGTGCGCACACCTTTACTCTCTCCCACACACCTCCACCACCCCCTGCACACGTTTGCTTCCAAGATCTTCCATGCACGTTGCTGCCTCCTCACATGCTTGCTTTCTCTCTCCTTGCGCGTTTCTACTTTGCACCCCCTCCTCTCTCACCTTGAGCACCACGCCTGTACGCGTGTGCACTTTCTTTTCATGCACACACACCTCCTTTGGAGGTGGGCACATTCTCTCCTTTGCATGCTACCTGCTCCCTCCCGGCACACACCTTGCTACTGTACGTGCACGAGCTGCTTCCCTTCATGCGCCCTTCCTTTTCGCATGTGCGCCTCCTCCTCTACTGCTGCACGCACCTCCGGCCGGCCTTGTCGAAGACAACGAGAGGATGCTCTGATACCAATCGAAGATCCGTGGATCAAGATGCTGAATGCATTCCAGATCCAAGTCCCAACAGCAAGATCCATGCAATATGAGTACAAACAGAACTCAATTACAACTTGAAATGACATGCACAGTTTGGCGGCTAAGGCCACCAGCAACAACTACGAACAGGTAAGTTTCTCTCTCTCTCTCTCTCTCTCTCTCTCTCTCTCTCTCTCTCTCTCTCTCTCTCTCTCGTATATTGCTGCTGCACTCATCCACACAAAGTTCACGTGAGCTCTCCTAATGTCCATGCCCTCACCTCTCTCTCTTATAGCTATCCTGCTCCTCACTATGGCGCCCTGCGCCGTCAAATTCTTGCTCGACAGGTACTGTTCATCCAGCCAGCCAGGATCTTGGTGCTGAAAAAGGCTGCAGTGCTTGAATGAACTGAGGCGAAGAAAGAGGCAGCCCCTAAATGCCAGGCTGCCTATTGTGCTGCCTCCAACATGGCTTCATGGCCCTGCCGCGGCCGGCAAAGATTTAGACTGTTGTGGGCCTTCCCTGGGACCGAGATGCGACATGACCCCAGGACTGAGCGCACGACGACTCCCTACTGACTGACTGTGAGGGATATCTACAGTTCCAAGGCCTTATCCTATGGGATCTCTATTGTCTGCTACAGTATCTACCGAGAAGATCTAAATGCGACACTGTGGTACATAATAAAATAGAATGTGGGGGTGGGCTGCTGATGCACGTTAATCCTTCCAATACAATCTGTTTAAAACGTGTACATGTGTTTACCACTTAGCCGCCATGGCCAAGTACCTTGTGGCTTTACTTTTTGATGAAACAAGAGGAGCATTTCTTTTTTATCTTTGTTTTATTGTCTTTTCCACATGTCATTGAAGGCTAGAAATCAAACTGGTGCAGCCATAGCTGCAGCTGTGAAGTTCAGTAATTAAGACTAGATGGTCATCTGGCTAGAAACGAAACTAGTGCAGTCATAGCTGCAGCTAAGGAATTACGACTGGATGGTCATCTGCTATTCTGTTCGTTTGTTGCATGCTAAACAGTGTGGTCGATGGGTGCCCAACTTGGTGAACTTGGGCGGACCTCCTTATGCGTTGTGAGTGGAAAAGAATGCTATTGTTCATGAGGATTTTAATCAATCAACCTTGCTGGTGAAGAATTGATAGTGATTACAAGCAAATTCCTAACACAGAGCACAAGCAATGGCAACACACCTTTCTCTTGCTTCAGCTGTCTTTTATGATCCTCTGTTAAGTATATCGTCTGGTCATAAATGGGATGCACAACCTGCTCAACGACAATCAAAACAAAATGCCAGGAATTGAGAAAAAAAGGTTATAGAGGAAACAGACGACAACAACATGCCCACAGTTCACAAAAACAGTCTATTTCTTCCTATCCTCCAAATATACATACAGAGAAAACTCCCCAGGCGGGGCAATTCATTAAGGTTGAAAACACGCCACCAAGTGAAAACGAACTTTTCACAAACTCAAAAGAACAACCAAACTGACTCGTGAATGCTACCCACCATAAGACAAATAGTCTCTCCTACCCCCCATGAACCTGGGGAACTGCATCATCAAAAGGGCAATGAAGTTTTAGTCTTCATCTACTCCACAACCTGCATCGATCTCCCATAGTTCACTGGGTGCAATGTGCTACCATCACTTGCAAGGGACAAGCAGCCAAAGGTGGTTTGTTGTTTTGCAGGCCTAACTTGCTTATGGCCACAGCCCCACCCTGAAATGGATGGAACTCCTAGTGCACACATACAATGGCAGCAAGACCATGGAAGATTGCACTGAGCATTTCTTTATTGCATGACCAACCCAATCTACCACAGCCTACATCAATCTACATCCCAACTTCCGCCGTCATATCCCCACTACCCTCATTATTGATGCCATGTTCATCTCTCATTGAAATGCACCTGCACACCAGACATCTAAATTGCACTGCACTATGACCCTCCCCTAGACCTTCCCTCCTTGCTGCGTTAAACCCTTCAACTCGATCACACCTTGCACCCCAAGCCCCACCACCCAAAACACCTTTCTGCCGCTTATTCCACAACACCATCACCAAACCCAGCCTCTAACCAGTGCAAGTCCTCAGCCCCTTTCTCCAACCTCAGCTTACTCTAATCCCTATGACCCTGAGCTTCCCCTGCACAGCGATCCAATGGACCTTTCACCCTTCCCCATTGCCCCAGAAACTAACGTCCGTCGAAAGGACTCAATTGCAGACCACGGGAGGTCATTTCCCTTGAAGACGGTTAGGCCATCAGCAGGCCAACTGCCATAATGCCAGCTGATTCGCTAGATTTAGGCCAGTTCAGGCAGCCAGCCAGCCCTCCATTGCACAATCTACCAATGTGTTTGTTCCTGCCCCCGCCTCTGCTTTTGTCTTCGGTAGGCCGGGGTCTGGGCCACCTGGAAGGGATTGCGTACTTGCCTGAGTCCCTACTGGGTCAGGTAGGTGCACAGTCAAGGGCCCAATTTTGGGCCTAGCAGGTAAGCGACTCTCAAGTGAAACGCTCTTTCGCATGGTAAATAGATAATAGGACGGGTAGATCAGGTTAGGGATACCAAGTCGATGCTGCTCCAACCACAGATGTCTTCACGGACTTCTGCAGATGTTGTGTTTGATGACCGGTCATGCAGATGGACTGATGCAATAAAGTGCCAGTACCACCTCAAGTAACAGCAAGCACCAAAATACTCTCACCACTTGCCACATAATCCAAATTTTTCCTAGCCATCTGCTCTCTACCCAGTGGATGAGGTAACCAGATCGCCCCAAGTCAACGCAGTATGTGTCAAATAGTGCCGGTATCGCGCTGTCGGCGCAAATACCCTGACAAGGGTATTTGCCGGGGATTTTAAACGTCGGACGCTGTCCGACTTTTTCGTTGAATTGAAGGACTTGATGAGACTGACGTTTGCCAGAAGTTCATTCAGACTAACCTATGACCGAAAGAGTGAAAGTTTTTGGACTTTAGTCAGGACACTTGTGGCGTCCGAGAGTGACGGCAGTAAGCGATTGTTCTTCGTTTTGTCGAGGCTGTAGGAGCGTGCGGGCGTTGAAGTACTAAAATCAGACCTATCCTACTAAAAATAATGTCGCGCGGCTGCTAAGCCGCGCGATTCAGAGCCTACGAGGCTAATAGGGACCGCTCTACAGGGGTTAAAACCACGACGGTGGCCGAGAGACCCAGCAGCCTGCTCTGCTAAGAGCTAGAGACTGCCGCGATTGACACACGTGACTAACTGATAGGGCAGGGCCAGCAAGCGAGGCCTGTTAGGCCTCGAGCAGGCGGGCCTGCAAGACCTCAGGCAGGCAGGGCCTGCAAGGCCGCAGGCAGGAAAGGAGGCTGCTCCTATCACTGATGTGATAGGAGCTAGGCCAGTAGGTAACGGTGCCAGACTTTCGCCCAGCAGATACCGGGATCAAGCCCGGCCGCACGCATCCTACTGGACCAGCTCCTTTTGGAGAAGCCCACTGAGTGAGGACAGTTGGGCAGCGCGGCCGATTTCGGCCGTGCGATCTTCGAGATCGCCCAGCTGAAAACAGTCGCGCTGAGATAGCATGACCCCTGTGCAAGGATGACACGCATAAATCGAGAAATGAATCGAAAATTTTCGATCCCAACTGGGATCGAACTCGAATCTGCGGCTTTGGAAACGCGCGGCTGAAAAGCCACGCGGTGGACTGAGGAGTGACCGTTGGCTAAAGCCAACGGGGTGAAAAAAAAAAACAACTAAAACTAAACTGGAAATGAAGCACCATGTGGTGCAAAGTGAAGTGTCTGGGGCACTTCAGCCCCAGTGAACGTGACAGTGCCCATGAGAAACGGGCGACCATTTGGCAGTGAGGTGAGTGTTTTCTTGTTTTTCTTTTTTTTTTTTCTTCTCTTTTTAGATTTTCTTAGATTTTCTTCTTTTAGATTTGTTTTAGATTTTTCTTAGTTGGATTTCTTTTTAGATTTTGTTGTTTTCCTTTTCTTTCTATTAGTAAAATTAGTAAGTGCCCGTTAGTTTTTGACGAACGGGCTGTCACTTAGCAGTAGAATGACCGAAAGCGAGTGAATAAGCCGCGGAAAGGCGGCTACGTCCAGGCGTCGGTTTTGGGACCTTGTACTTGAGTTGTGGCGGGCTCTACACATGCCTCGGGTGGTTTTCAGTGCGAGTTACGAGAGAGAGAGAGAGAGAGAGAGAGAGAGAGAGAGAGAGAGAGAGAGAGAGAGAGAGAGAGAGAGAGCCT